AGTTGGGCGTGCTGTGGGTCTTCTGAGTTGGGCGTGCTGTGGGTCTTCTGAGTTGGGCGTGCTGTGGGTCTTCTGAGTTGGGCGTGCTGTGGGTCAATTATTACAGACAAATTAAACACTCTAGAAAGTGAACAGGTTTTATTTTTTTCCAATTGGTGTTCAATAAAAAAATTCTTTTTTTTCAAGTGACAGTACTCTTTTCAAAAGAAATTGTTCTAAGTATATGATAATCTGGAAAATTGAAATTTCTGCTGCTTAGTCTGAAACATGATAAAAGATTTGTGTGGGTATAGAGCAGTGATAGGGACAGTATCACCTCGCTGGCATTGAAAGCTTAAGATAAAAAGACTTAAAGGATGTTGATGCTTTTTAGCAGAATAGTAGAGCATCTGATTTAGTCTAAAATTGTATTTAGAAATTCTAATTTTAGTCCATAAAACACTATGTTCAGAAACGTAATATAATGCTTTTGTTTAAGAACCCCAGGCTATGAAGGATCAGTCTGAAAAGTGCTCTCTGAATTTACAGGCTGGATGGTGAAGTCCTGAGTCTCTATCTGTGAAGCACTGTAGCTTTCTTCCTACTGACATCACCTGTCAGAACTGAACTGGATCTGCATTTATGTTGGCACTCTTCTTTTCTTATGTTGTTTGGGTGAGTAAACATTTTTTCAACCTTATCTGGTTCTAGGTAACTGGGGAGCTGTGTATTTTTTTTGTTTGTTTTTAAATATTTCATGTATAGGAGCTATCAGATGAAACTTTCACAATCAGAATTCACTGCTGTTTTGTATTTATGCTTTTCTTTGCAACAAGAAGTTTGGAGGAATCAAAAAGGCTTGCTTATTGTCATAAAGCATGTAGGTGGTATGGTAATCTCTGTACCTTATTTGTCCAGCAGTTGTTGTTTGATACTATAGTTTTTCTCACTGTTGCAGAAGTTGTCAGTTCAGAACCTTTACTAATAATAGCTTGAGGTTTGTTGAGATGAGAATGGCATGCACTGCAGTTAAACAGCTGAGCATCTGTGAGCTTGTTACACGGTGATTTTCTTGATGGCTGTGTAGTGTCTAAGAGGAAGGCCTTAGAAAAAGAATCCTATAAGTACAAGTGTCTTAGTTGCTAATGTTTATTCCCTAATAAATACCAAATATTATCAAAAATTATGCAAAGCTCCCCTGTATTCACCAAACGAATGTTTCTATTGACCACAGTAATCTTAGATTCTGTATCATAAATAGCAACATTGTGAATTCATCTCATGTATTAACAGCGTATTGGATGACCATGGAAAGAAAATGATTAAGAAAATACTTTGGTAGAGTGATAGCTACAGAAAAATCCTGCTATAACTTAATTTCTTTGTAATCTAGGAACAAAGTGTGTAGTTACATTCTGCTGATGGTAAAGCTACTCCTCAAGATGTTCAAGTTTGTGTTTTTATTTCTAAGCAGCAAAGCTATCCAAACCAAAGCACTTTCTGAACAGTCTTCAGCTCTAGGTTTATTTGATATCTAAACTTCCAGTTTCCAATTGTGTATAGAGTTGGACTCCTTTCTAACTCTTACTTTTAGCTTGCCAGTCTGTAAATTGTACTGAATTTACCTCAGTTGTTGACACATTTGTCTTTAAATATTCCTCCCAATTTCCCTGGGATAATGTGTTTGTGTAGCTGCGAATCTCAAGTATCCTTAAAGTTAATCATGGAGAGTTGGATTTGGCTATGCACTGCCCATGAATGAGCAAAGGACCATTGTGACCATACTTGTCAACACTGCTGGAGAAGGCACTCCTTAGTTCTGCACTGTATGAATCTGATTGACTGCTCCAACTGCTGGAAGGTCAAAAGTTTTTCTCTCTAGATTATACATCTTATTAAACTACGAGATTACTCCCTGAAGTCAGCATTGTAATGGTTGTTTTGCAGACTAAACAGGTAAATTATCCTGCTTTGAATCTCCTTACTATGTGTCTTACTTGGACTTACACTGAGGATTCTGTTGGGTCCTACTGTAGTTTCAGTTTTAGGTGGTGCATGTTGCCACATGAGTTGCATGCTGTGCTGATTAAGCTGCGTACTTCACTAATCAAGCTGCAAAGTTAAGTAGGTGAAATTTAATACGTTCTACTAATCAAGGTGCATTCTTTGTTGAGCAAGCTGAATATTTTAAACTTGGAGTTTTTATATACTCTGGTAACTGCCTTGTAGGCCTCTCTTGCCTACAGCCATGGCTAACAAAGCATAGCTAGCTATTCCATTACTGACAATGGAAGGAATGTGAGCTTTCACTTTGATATTTGTCCTATTGCAAAGCTTATTGCAAGCTTAGGGATGAAGGAACCAAGATTACTGGTCAGTAAATGAGACTGTTACCCTTTGATAAATCTCATTGGATTACACTGAAACACATTCCTACTGCCCCAACAGCAAGAGTGTGTGTGTGTTGTGTATTGCTTGGCACCTCAGTTGGGTCTGCAGGTTTATAGTAGAAGTAATTGATATTTAATGTGCTATTATTGTGGCTATTGTCCGTTTTCAGATGATTTTAGTTCAGTTTTCATTCTAATCTCTTTCCTCAATGCATCTCTTTATGTCTCAAACTGGATGAGAAAGGTAGGTAAATGGTAGTTCCCAGTCCCTTTCTATCTTACTACTAATAATAGCAGACAAGGCTTTGGGAACAGCACAAAGCCATGGAGGAGAAGCCAGTTACTTTTGAAGCATTTGTAGCTGGGTTATTTAGCGCTAGTACTGAACAAGTTACAAGGAAGCAATGTAAGGAGCAATGCTTTGAAGACCTGAAATCTAACTAGTTTACAGAGTAGAGTGAACAATTAAGACTAAGATTCCTTAAAAAGTAGGCAAGATGAAGCAGACAGGAAGTGAAGCTGAAGGTGGAAGAGAAGAAAAAAATGAATAGAGAAAACTGGTAACTACCACATGCTGCAATCCTCTTCATGTGATAGCAAGTGCCAATAAATACTGTCTGTGTAGAGTCCTTATATACTCTAGTCTTGGTTGACTTAGATACAGTTGAGGGGTAAATTTTCGTTATGCTCTGCTTGCAAGTGTGGATGGACTCCTTGGCATGAAGGGAAAGGTAAGAGGTGATTATAAGGAAGGTATAATTACAGCCTCTAGAACCTTGGTTGATGTCTGCTGTCAGACTGCCAACTTTTCAAGCTATCAAGGTAATATTTTTTTTTTTCTCACACAGAAAATATAGCAGCTCATTTGTGCAGTGAATTATCAAGATCTGTTCTAGCTTCACAATTGACCATTAAAAATACTGTGGTACATTTAGTAAGAACAAGCATCATAAACCATTAAAGGTAAATTATGTTTATCAAATACAATAAACAGTACATGATGCAATGGCCTTTTGTGTTACTATTTGTTTTATTTGTTTTTGAGCTAATTTGTTCAAATTAGGATTCCACAATAGGAATTGTAACTGAAACTTTGACAGATGAGCAATGCCAAATGCTATTATCTTTGTGGGATACAGATGTTGGGTATATACAACACAGATGTATGCAATATGGATCTGATGGAATACTGAGTCCTTGAATGTTCAAGTATGAATACAGGTGACCTTGCACAACAATACTAGACACATGAATTGAGTTTACTGATTCTTGCAGCTTCAGACATTTGATGGAAGAAATTATGTGAATTTTTTTAATGACTAAAATATCCATGGGAGTTTTGTTTGAAATTTGTTTGAAGTAAAGTGAGATTCTTAAGAGGTTGCACACATTTAAAATGCAGAAGATGAAAATGTCCATTGAATGCCACAGAGTATCAGTGTAAAGCTTTGAAGAATAAGTAAACTTCAAGATGTAAATTCCACTCAGTAGTGTGCAACTTGATTACGGCTCAACATTTACATAGGCTCTTTAATTAAGAGTAAAGGTCAATAGGTTAAATAAGTAACTTAATCAGAAAATTATGCAGAAGTGCCACAAATCAAATGCATTATACAGCCCTTGAGATCGATATGGTATGCAAATCGATCAGTAAAGTATATACTGTATGGCTTCAAGTACTGAAACATGCAGCATGATACCGCAAACACAATAGTTGATGTAGTTTGTATCAGCTGACAACGCTGGTGTGGATTTTTTTTAGTAATGTCACACCTTTCTTTTGTCATGCATAGTGTTTTGGCTCCCAGGTAACTCTTTTAAGTCATCTCGAGTGCAGTACAAAACAATGACCAGAGATAGCATTTGGATGAGTAAAGAGCTGTGAGCGTTCATGGTGTTGTGTAGTCACTAAGGTTACCTGGAGGACCAGGAAAGRTAAGGCCTCTTTAATAAATTAAGATGTAAGCCTGCTAGGATACCAAAGGAGCAGGATTCAGCGCCTCTCTTCCACTGTATTTTGCTTGATACWTGGAAAGAAGAGAGATTTATGGCTCCCTTATTCTCCTAGTTCACCTGTTTCTGCCCTCATCACACTGTAGTGCAGAGAACTGCTTGTTCTTACAAGCCTTGGGACATGCCAAAGTGCAGTCAGAACATACAGCAAGCCTACCCTTTCCCCATTTTTCTGAAAGGGAATGAAGAGTTAGGACCAGATGATCAGTGTGTGTAGGCAGGCACAGTGCTTGGGACTATGCTTAGATCCAACCACATCTCTTCTTGTTTGGGCTTGCTTGGCTGTGTTTTCTCTGTCATTATTTGTTGGAGTCCTGTTGTTCTGTAAGAGCTCAGAGCACTGTTACTGATGATACGTTGCAAAAAGCAGGTCATTACATCCATTCTGAGGGTTGTCTGGCTTTTTCAAAGCTCTGCTGTTCTGAAAGCCTATTAAAGATTGTAAATGTATACTGTAATCAGATATCCCCTGGTTGAATAGTTAGCACACGCAAATCATTTTTATCACCTGGTGGGATGCAACAGTCCTATGCATTCAAATACGTTATCAAGTCAGCAAATACAGGGAATTTCTGATAGATGGATCTATATTTATCTATACTGGATCTATACAGAACCTATAAAAATTTCTAAAAAGATTCTGTACCTTTTTATATCAACAAAGAACATGAGGTTCTGCCTGCCTGGAGGAAGAGGATGGCGGGGGGGAAGGATGAGAACAATTTGTCCTCTCAAGCAAGTCCAAAAAAAAATGAAGATTGCTTTTGGTTGGAACTAAGTTCACACAATGTAGCATGTTTAAATGCCCTTCCACGTAGTTTCTGAAAGTAGCCAGAGCTGTTATGGGAATAAGGCAGATGGAAATCCCCTCCTCCGTTAATGGAAATATGATGGTCTCCTTGGCAAAGGCACCAGGATTTCCTGCTAAAAAGCACAAATACAAAAGTCATTGGTGTGTTAGCAGTGGAAGTGATAGGCTCAGTAGTGCCAAGTGACATTCTTTTTTCTTCCCTCTCTTATTGCTCTTTCCTTTCACTACTGCTTTTGTTTGTCTGAAAAAGTCATGACCATGAATTATGAGTTGTTGTGTTGTTTCTAAGGTCCATCACAGGAAGTACCAACTCAATAATGCAATATTACTGAGCAAAATGTAGCTATTTTTTGTTTTCTGTGGTTTAGGATATGACACTTCTGTGTTTGTTTCTCTGTCTTTTTGTCTTATTGTTTCTGTTCTGATCTACAATACAAGATCTCTATTTTACTTAATTTCTAAGTAGATTAGCCAGTTAGAATATTTTGGCGTGTTTTTGATGATAAAGCTTGTTTCTCGATATTTGAGCTCAAATTGCCCTTTTTTTAAAGGGTAGACTGCAGTGTATAATTTTATATTTGCAAAGTTTGCCACTTAGGAAATTGTATTGCTGTATTTTGAGTACTGTTGTGATTTCTGTTGTGAGGCACGGTCATACCAGTACTAGACTTCTGAATGTTTTGAAAACTTAAGTCCCAGGCTGTGTGCTTTGAACAGAACCTTGCCTTGTTTTGTGGTGTTTTTTTCCCCCTCCTCTCTGAGTGCAGTGGGTCACAGCTTCAAAATGCATTCTTGACTGCCTACAATCACCTTTAACATAGGATAGCATGGCTTCATAGCATCATAGGTTTTAGCATGTAGAAAATGACAAATGCTTGGTTTCATCAATAGCCATGTTACAACAGTACTATGACTTATTAGTGAATGGTGCTTACAGGCATGGATCTTGTCATGTTATGGGCATGGTCCAAGACCACAACGAGTATTTATATACCTATACTAGAAAACCACAAGCACCACAGACCTTGTTCTAAGCAGGTTTAGTGTCCTGAGATCGAAGCAGAAATGAGGGGGGATGATGAGAGGGGAGGAAATACTCTAGGTGGACTATAGACAGAATACTTTGGGCCTGGCCTATTGTGTGTTGCGTTGGTGCATTTCTGCCAGTGTTCAGGATGTTTTCTGTGCGTCTATATGAACTGCAGTTTTACCCTTGGAGGCACTGTAGATAGTGTTGCTTAATTTGATAACWTTCCCAAAAGACCATGGTGTAACTGGGATATAAAGCTCATGTATCTTTACATATATTGCACTTATCATGGATTCTAGGTACTGAGACAATACTTCTTTTGAATAACAATCCTCCAAACATCAATCCAATTCCTTAAATGCTGGTATCATACTAGTCTTTAGTTGGTTTTCATGCATGAAACTTGGAAGCAGCTATATCTGTGAAGTTTCCCAGCCTAGGGGATTTAGGGAGAATGGTCCCATTTCAGCTGTTATTGCTTATTGCTTTTCTTAAATTCTCTTTAGATATAGAGATAACAAGTATACATATTTTTCTGTCCCCCCACCCTTCTTATTTCTCATCTTGTTTTTATTCCATATGAATTTCTGAAAATGAGATCTGAAGATGATACAAGTTTTAAATTAACAAATGGCTAAGAAAAAACCCACACCAAGTGTACTTCAAATCTCATGACTTGATTATGGTCTGAAAAAATTTTAGATGTTTGTGTTTGGTAATGCCAGATCCCATTGCTAATACATTAAGATTTATAGCACAGTATCCCAGCAATTGAGAAGTTGGCATTTGCTTCAGTATCTAGCTACCTGCATATTAAGACATTGGCAAAATGTTCAAGAACTTCTGTAACAGCACCCTCTGGTGACTCAGTCCTTTGTTTTGATTTGCTTAAAACTGGATTTATTGATGATCACAAGTCTTTTCAGGAAGACCATCTTTTTCTTTTTTTTTGAGCTTAAAATTTTAAACAAGGCAAGTTTTGAGTTTCCTTTGACTCTGTCACAAATATTTGTTAGAGTTCAATTAGTTAAGAGATGACTGACTTACTATATATATCTACTTTTGAAGACAATCCAGACCTGTTCAGAGTAGTCGCCCTGAACCCTTCTTTTTTGTCTCTCTTCCTGATATAAAAGCTTGTGAGAAAGCTGTTGCATAAGGATTTCTATACTCTGTCACATTGGCTCCACCATTCGAGAGGAATGAGGAAGGAGGTAAGCACTATTTTGACGTGTCCTTGTGTGATGTGTGTTGCCTTGGCCTTGGGGTGGAATAATAGGGGAGCACACTCCTAGGAGGGGTCCTCTGTGTGTGCTCATGCAATGAGTCAGTTTGCATCTCTGTAAAGTTTTGTTTTCATAGAGTTCTTTCATTCTTTTTGTATCCCATGTTTCTTTCAGTTTCTTTACAGTTCACTCATACCCTACAAATATGTTTACAGCAAAGCCACATTCAAAGGCATTATGCTTTCACTTCACTGTATGATTTAGTTGTCAGTAGACTCTGATACAGATCAGACTCTGTAAAGCCTCCTGATGTCATTCAGTCAATATATTGCTGTACCAGAAATAGTTTTCTGGAAGGAACTGCATCTCCAGTCTCAATCTCCTGTTTAAAAGGTTACACTGGGACAATGAGTAAAATTAGTATTTTAAGTGATACTGTATTTTTTAAAAAGCATAACTCCAGTTTCTGGTACTAATGTAAATTTCTAAAGTCCAGCAGAAGAAAAGCATATTACATGATGTAAATCATTTGTAGAGTTTATTTTATAAAGAAGAAAACCTGAAATAGATGCTGAGTTGCTAGCCCTAAGGCAAGACTCTTCAGCGGTCTATATGGCAGTGACTAGCAGGAACAATTCATATGATTCTCAGTACTGCTATCTCTTCTTAACAATTAACATGAACCATTTATTGAAAAGAAATGAAAACATTTAAGTCAATGTTTCAAAGCCTTTTTTTTCTTTTAAGAAAGAAAAAAGTAGAACACTTGTGTAAATCTTTGGGTTTTTTATGGTTATTAAACTAGTATACTGTAGGCTATTTAGTCACATTAGTAACTGAAAAATGCAATAGGAACATGAATTTGTTATTTCAGCTGATCTGTAATACTTCAGGTGTGCAAGATACAGTATACTCATTATGATTTTAGCCCCTGAGGTACAGTAGGATCTTCACAGAAGATGCAATCCTTGATAAATAGAAAGTAATTATCATCCAAAGCTCTGGTCCTGCAATTTACTGTGGGAGTTGCACTTCCATCTGTGTTGAGCCTTACTAGTCTTAAGGTTTCAGTCATGTGAAGAGCACTCTGTAGGAGGATGCCTGTTTCAGTGATTCCTTGTTTTCATATAGATCACTGTCTTGGTAGAGCCTCTGTGCTCAGGACCTTGGCTGAGCAGTAGCACACGTGGCAAACACTGCTTGGTAAAGGGGTGTGGGATTTGCTGCAGGGACATGGATGCACTATGTTCTATAGCTATTTGTAAATCTTTCCTTTCCACACAAAGGAATAATGGAGTTTTTTGTTACAATGAGCTTGAGTTCCATTTTTGAAGAAATGCTGTATACTGCATTTAATGAGGACCCATGTAATCAGGACACCTGCATTCCTGGGATGTTGCCCTGGGAACCAATTTACCCTAATGACAGTGAATGACATTTACTGCTGCTTAGACTACTGCTTAATTTAAACAATAGTGCATTAGCAATATTTGACTTAATGGAGATGCATTGGACTTATGCCAGTGGGTTAAGTAATTTTTAACTGGGTGTTAAATAGATAGTAATAGAATAATGCTTTGCCTTAGGTAGTGCCAGTACATTCTACCTGAGAATCTGCAAATATTAAAGAAATGCTAAGGCATCTCAGACTGTCTGAAAGAAGTATTTTATTCTTCAGAGAGCATTGATGCACAGGAACGCTAAAGTTTTCCACTCAGATTAACGTCTCCTCTAGGAGATGTATGCAGTATATGGATACTATCTGCATATAGGCTTGTGAGTAAAATACACCTGTTCTTCCAGATAGGAAAATAAAGTACTGAGAAAGCTATAGGTAACTTAAGAAGTCTGTGCCTTGGGCTGAGCTTGGCCTCTTTTTTAAAAATCCTATCTCTCTCTTATTGTCTTAGTTGCATGATACACTTCCTTTTCCGATTAAAGTGTGAAAAAAAATGAATATGGTATAAATCTGTCATGTCAGTATTCTCCACAAGTGGTGAGACAGAGCTCAAAATTGTTTTCAAATGTTTGCATAACATGTTATGATAAAATGAATTTATTGAGCTTTGTATAATTTCCTGATTTCCTCCAAAGTCCAACGGCAACAGGCACCAGGTTGGTCATGGAAGTTGGAAATAGTTTACTGTTAAGTTACTTCATTGTAGTTCCTGGATATAACTAACAAATCATGCTTTGTATAGCAAGGAGAAGTCAGAATATGGGAGTCTGTTTCACACAATTCCAGACTTTTTGTGCTGAGACTTGAATTTGTCACCTCAAAGGGGTGTGTCCTATTCTCTGCAATCCATGGTGTAGGCTTTCTTGTCCTTGAGATTTAGTTGCCTGTGCACTAAGAACTCAAGGTTCAGCTGAAGGACTCTGAAGAATATATGCACTTAAAATATGCACTTAGAAATAAGAGAGATTAAATGAAAGCGGTTTTGTTCCTCTTTTATCTAGGGATGGGTATCCTAGTTCTGTAAAACCTTTTGAATTGTCTTCAGCTTTTGTCTAGAGGTGAATGTGTATATGTAAGCTTTATTTATATATATATATATATAAATGTGTATGTATATACACATGGAAAAAATCTTTTTGGTAAGAATCCAGTCCTGTAAACATCTTGCAGTCTTAACATATGGCCAACCTAGAATATGGTAGAATAATGCGTTTGGCTTTATAAACAATAAATTACACGATTTATGCTTTGCCTTACTCTTGGGAAACAGGCTGCCTGTTTGACTATTTAAAGGATGGCAGGATCTTTTTAAAATTCAAAATGGAGACTGTGTCAGCAGGTACTTGCAGTGAAACTTATAGTTCTTCAGCAATAGATGCATTTAGGTTGACCACAGCAACATGCTCATAGACTCAACGTGTTTGTTATGTTTAGGGCTGGCTCTCAGCAAGCATCTTTAATTTCAGTACCAAGTACAGGGAGAAGGATAGATGTCACAGCTAGCATATTGGAGTATAGCCAGGTGATTATTTTTTAAATAAAAATAAAATGCCTGCGTACTTTCTACTTTGATAATTCAAAGCAGCTTTGTTGAAAGCAATAATTGTAGCTGTATCAACAGATCTTATAGACTGTCTTAATGTGTACATTGGTATTGACTGTAGTTAGTTCACTACTCCTTTAAAAGGGGGTCTTTACCCCTTTAAAGAAACTCTGGTCTTGAGTGGACCAGAAGTAGCACATCACAGCATTAATATTTTAACATGGCTGACACATGGAGGAGGAATATATTGAAGAGAGACGTTTATTGTATGAAGCCATATATCAGAATTCAGTTAAGTGAGGAGGATGTGGAATTAGTCACTCTGCTATGGAGTGGTAGGATAGGTATGTTTATGGTCTCATAATGTGTGTCTATACTTTATTCAACTTTTTTTGATCAAAAGTAACTGTGGCTCAACTTGTTAACTGTAGCTTTGTCAAAGGACAAGTTGCAGTTGCTGCTACAGATGTTGCAAGTCTCTTGTATTTACTTTTCATAGTATTTCCTCTTAAAATGGATTTGCATATGGTGAAGGAATGTCCCTTTGCTTTATAGAGCATAATCTAATAAGCGATATTGTATCTTTGATCCATGAAAAACATCAACTACTGAAATCTACAGCAAAACTCCTGTTGYCAGTGAAGACTTCATTTTACGGTTCTTGTACAGTGTTTTAAAACAGGAAGAGGAGTTGGCATGTTAACTTGGTTTCTAATGATTTGTACTACATGTGAGGAAGAACTTCTTCACTGTGAAGGTGACAGAGCCCTGAAACAGGCTGCCCAGGAAGATTGTGGAGCCTCATTCTCTGGAGGTCTTGAAAAAACAGCCTGGATGCTACTCTGTGCCGTGTGCTCTAGGTGTCCCTGCTGGAGCAGGGGTGTTGGACTAGATGATCTCTAGAAGTCCCTTGCAACATTTAACGATTCTGTGATTCTGTGTGGCTCAATATAGAGGAACTGTAAGAAAGGGGCAGAAAAATGTCCTAATAATGGAAAGCTGAAAGAGAAGCCGATTTGAGAGGTTAGGGGGCGAGAGAAGGAAGAGGAAGGAAAAACAAGAGGTAGACAAACAATGAAATCCTGATTTTACCTCTATTTTTGAAGCAAGGAATCAAAGAAGAGACAAAAGTGAGAAGGGTATTGTTTGCTCTGTTTGTGCCAAGTGCTCTTATACAATTTGTGTGATACCCTAAGAGTCCTCCAGGGCATGGGCAGTATTCCTTCTGTCTCGCCCTACATTCTAGAGACCGCCTTCTTCCTGGTATAACTTTTAATTGTGGCTTATTTTAGCACATTTTTAGACAGAAGGTAAAATATTCTTTTTGTGCACATCACACAGGGATTCCTTTTCTGTGCCACAGATATCTCTGGTCTCTTACTTGCAAATTTCTGTAATTCATTCATCTAGAACCAGAGAATCACAGCTTGTTGCCTCTGTTTTGCAGTAACTGCTACAGCAGCACAGATGAATTTCAAACCTAAAAACAGAAGAATTACTTGTAAAAGTTGCAGAGGCAATGAAACCCTCATCTTCAACAGAAATGTTAAAATCAGAAATACTAAAATTGGAAGCCCATCCCTTTGAGAAAAGCGAGGAAGTGGGTTTTAATTTGTGTGATTAAAAATTCAGCTAGTTATTTTCAATTTGAGGCAAACCTAATTGAAGCTGATTTTTAAGGAACACAATTAAACGAATTTCTCCATCTAAAATTAATATAAAACTGAGGGTAGAATGTAAACTTCCCCCCAGAAATACTGACAAAAAGAGGAGTTGCATTTGAGACTTTGTGCCAGAGTCCTACCATTTAGTTTCCAGGGTTGTTTTGGTCTAAGATAGGACTACCTTGTGAATAGTTTTTTCATTTATATTGAGATCCCTTCCTGAGTGGCACGGAGTTAAAACAAGCTTCTTGTGGGCCGCCTGGTGAAGACTGTGATGAAATGTATATTTGAAAACAAACCAAACAAT